AAATCTTCAACCTCCTTCCTGAGGGGAACGGGGCAAAAAGTGTGTGCACTGGGTGAGTGGGGTCCTTCATGATGCAGGTGGCCCTCTTCCTGCATCTGGAGGTGTAGATGTCTGTGATGGTGGAGAGGCTGACTCCAACAGACTTCTGTGCAGCCTTCACCACTCTCTGTGGAGCTTTTCTTTCTGCAGCTGTGCAGCCTCCATGCCACACATTGATGCTCCAGCACAGGATGCTCTCCACTGCACACCTGTAGAAGGAGGTGAAGACCGAGCTTCCCAGACCAGCTCGCCTCATCCGTCTGAGGAAGTCTCTGATGAGCTTTCTTGATCAGGCTGGTGGTGTTGTTGCTCCAGCTGAGGTTGTCATTCAGGTGTACACCCAAGTACTTGTAGCTGGAGACCACTTCCACCGCAGATCCTCTTATGCACTCTATTCACAGCTCTTTAAAATAGTAATTTCAATTCAACCTTTATTTATACAGGTTGTTTGTCTCATTGAGCCTCGAGGACTCATTTACAAGAGAGACCTGTTTTTAATCAATTTAATCAAAGTTGTCAGATGTTTAACAACTTGTTAAAATACATCAAAATGCAGGACATGGCATCTCTTTTATCCCAAATTTTCTGGGGGAGGACAGACAATATAGGTTTACAATGACCCAACTCTTCCACTGTGACCATTATTCAGCTTGGCACCATCTGGCAGAAGACTGGTGGTTCCTCTGGTAAAGAAAAATGGGTACAAAAAGTCATTAGAGTGTCCTTAACAGGGTCCTATTTAAACGTAACCTCACACGATAAACCACTAACTGCTGAGATGCTTTTATAGTTTTAATGTATTGAGTATTTTAGAAAGTTTTTATTGGTTTAGCAAAGCTTTTGAAAAGTTTTATGGAATTTTTTAACTTGTGTTGCTTTGTATGTATGAGCCCGATGTCAAAGATAAGTCTCGATCTCATGGAATGTTAAGGACAATAAAGTTATATTGACTGATTGGTTAGGTGCTACCAGAGCCCTGTAAAGAGAGAGTTGCGACACTCTTTGAACTCGCCGAT